TATATTTTGTGTGTGTGTGTGTGCGTTGGCTTCCTGTGCCGGAATCTGCAATATCGTTTGCTATAAGAGCAACAGCATCATAATCGATCCGGCTGCTGTATTAAGAGCGCTCGTTGCCCTTCTAAAGCTTTGCCAGTAGTAGCCGTGACCGACTTCACTGAAATGCCAAGCAACCAGTAGGCCAAGGTTATATCGATGCGGGGCGGGGGGCGTGCGGCGGAGTGGGGCGGGGGGGTTGTTGGTCTTTTCCTTAAGTGGGCGACAGAATGATATTTGCGCAGTGCCTTTAAAACCCAATTCAACGCGGAGGGTAATACGAGCAAACAGAGTGATCTGAATACGGCTATTTGGACTTGCTTTCAAGATGAATGGTGAAAATCAAGCCAGGCGACAAAAGGGGGGCAATCAGGAGTGGCCATTACAAGATTACAGTAACGGTGCAAGTATTTGCTGGTGAAAATTGCACTGCCGTCCACTCAGAAAGAACCTCAAACGCAAATGGCGGCGAGGCCTGATTGTTCCCATTGATTGAGTATCAGGGTCTTTGTCTTTTTCACTTGCTGTCACAGTCGATAGACACCACCCAAATATACCGCTCACTCAATCCCATGTGTTGCCCGTCAGCCCCGTCCAGCTAATTTAACACCCACTCAATTTATGAAAAACAGTCCCCATCGATCCTTTGTGTGTGTGTGTGTGTGTGTGTGTGTGTGTGTGTGTGTGTGTGTGTGTGTGTGTGTGTGTTCATGCTTTCCTGTTGCCGCCGCTTATTATCGCCACGCTGGCGCCGATGCACGGAAGGACGACAGCCGTGGAATTGAATTAGCACGTGAAATGGGTTCCAGGAAAACGGATCCCTCGGAACCTCCAGCAACGGTGAAATGGCAACGGCAAAGATCCCCGTCGCTGAGCTTTTTTGTGCCCAACGCTCTGATTTTCCGTCATTCTCATCCATCGATCTGTTTTCGAAAATTCCTCTTCCAAAATGAAGGAGCCAGGCCTGATCGCAGCTAGCTTTTGGGCCAGGGGCGAGGCACATGAGGACGAAGTGGTGTGTAGAGTTGTCAAAAATTGTACTTTTACTGAAGAAGAACGTGATTCAAGAAAATAATTAAATGAGAAAGCAGAAGTCAACAAGTATTCAGTGAGTGGTCCGAGCACCAACGTCAAAAGGCCAGGAATGTCTAAACCACCGGTGTCAGATCTGGCCCGCCGCATCATTTTATGCGGCCCGCGAAAGCAAATCAAACACGTCAACTTCCATGATGCTTGCCAAAATCTCGACCAAAATTTCAAATTTTCACATGTCATAAATAAGAGACATTTGTAAACATTTTTTTGTAACCAAACCACTCAGTACAGGAACTTAAACAATAGTTGAATAAACAGTTATCATTGATTTTTCATTCACAAAATAGGAATCTATGTGAGAATAAGCGGTACAGAAAATTAAAGAATGGACGGATAAATCGACATGCAACACTATTTGAATAAATCTCTGCCAGTTTTTACATTTTCAAACGATCACTTTTTTCAAAATCACAATGTCCTATTAATGGGATTCTATTTTTCCAACAGGCCAGCCAGAGGTGTTCCGCCTCCTCTGACCGCCAGTCGCACGCCGTTCTTTCTGCCGCGCTTCACGTTAATTAGCCACTTTGAAAACGTTTGCGTGGGGGCTGCACAGACTGCGTCATGTGACTCTCCTGCTCACTTTGATTGGTTGGAGTCAAACGTCGCCGGCGGTGACGATGGATTGGTGAAACGAAAACGTGGTGTCAGTGCCCGAGGCAGACGTCGCTCTGAGAAACCAAAACAAATAGATGTGGTGCCAGCAAAAAAAAAAAAACAGACTTTGAAAAAAAAAAAGAAGTTACTCAGCACTATCTATCCAAAAAGTCACAAATAAACTCGCGCAAGCACGGAGAGAAAATCGAAAGCCCGCACAGGAGATTCAGAGCCTGAATTAAAGACATGCGGGGCACACAAAGTAACCACTATATCACCGTGCTGCCCTTGCACGTCAATTATCTGACACAACATGCAAGCCAGCTATTTCCCGTGGAAAATAAGGCCCCCCCCAAAAAAAACACATTATAAAACCACAATTGGCTATTTTGGGTGGTGATGATTAGTTTGCACAAGCAGTCATTTCCGCGGAGGTAAAACAGTGAAGCACAAAAAAAAATTGTCCTGACAACGACAACGGCCTTCCTGTCCCGACTCACCAGAGACGCCACTTGCCAGGACAAGAGCACTTGCGACCTTCGCAAAGAAAACAAAATGATCCGGGCTCTTTGTTCCCAAACAATCTGAAGACAGTACAGGAGAAAAAAGGGCACATAAACACCTGAAAATATACGCCGCACGGCATCCATCAGCCATGCCTGCAGTCTAATTGGAAGCAATTGCTGGAGGAAAGCTCCGTAATCATTCCTCGCAATTGAGACACTTGAATCATTAACAGAAAAAAAAAAAAATTGGCGGCAAATATCATAAAATCCGGTTGCCTTGGATGACTGCTTTTTGTCAAAATCACTCATTATTTGGCCTGGCAAAGAAAAAAAAAGAAGAAAAAAAAACCCTCCAATCTTAAAAAAGGTTGTTGTTTTTTTTTTATGGATTATAATTGCAAACTAGCTTCAGAATTACAGAGAATCAATACAGGGCACGGACGTGATTATGAAAAACAACTTCCTGCGCTAGTCGGGAGGACGGGAGGTCAGCTGGAGAGAGGCTCTTCGTTCTAATCGGATAGCACGGAAAAAAAAAAAAAAGAGAGTTTACTATTTGCTTTGGGCTATTGGGATCCAAAGCAGCTAGCATAACATGAAACATGGACACATTGCAGTACTTTTACGGCGGTAGAGTGGGAACAGCTCTAAAAATGTCTCCGTTGTGAAATGTACACAAAGAGTTATGAAGTGACATTTTGCCTGGCAGTTGCCGCGAATGAGACTGTGAGCTTTGAAAATCAAACCGCTGCGCAGATGGACTGCAGTCTTTGTAGGAATTGTTGCACCACCGCAAGGCGTTATTATATCTTTAATTAAGCTACTCGCAGAGCCCAAAGGCCAACGCGGCTTGAACAACTTTTTTCAATGCGTCCTTGATAGCTTCCCAACAAAAGTCTGACTAAAAGCTTTTTTTTTGTTTGTTTTTTGTTTGAACAGACAGACGTCAACCTTTCCCCGATTCTAATTAACGGTGATTTCTTTCAAAAATATCACAATGGCCTGAATTCTACACATCGCTGTTCTCACGTTGCTTGCATTTAAGGGCAGTTAAAAGCAATGACGACGTCGCTGTCCCGAGGACATGAAGACATTCTACGTCGTGGGTCACTTTGTGAAATTCATATTAGTCGCTGTCATTCTGATTATTTTGCCATTTGCATATTCATCGAGGGGAGCCTTGTTTAAAAGAGCTGTAGGGACCTGCATGCATATTGAAGAAGTGGCATGCAAAGGAAACAAGAGAGATTCACTTTTGGGACATTTCAGCTCCATTTATGTATGCATAAAAAAATTAAAAATGCATGTGTATGTGTGCGCATCTGCCATTTGCATGCTGCTCGTTCACCCATGCAAGAGCGGAGAGCCAGCAAATGAGTTTAGCAGATAAGCAAATATATATCAACACAGTCCATATATCTTCCCCCGGCAACAAACGAGTCCGATGTGACCCGCAGCAACACGGCGTTCCAATTGTGAACTGCAATAAATCTAATTACAGCCCGGTGACTAATTAAAAGTCTGACGCCCATTAATGCCATGCTAATGTATGAATATTATTCAGCCAGTGAGAGGCGAGAATAATTTTTTTTCTGATAGCGATGTGACGCACAGACAAGAAGGGTGTGTGTGGGGGGGTTGGGGGAATAAATCCCTCTGTCTTCCCAGGGAGGGCGGGTTTGGCAGTAAACCAATTCCGAGTCTGGCTTCTTCAACGGCCAGATAACGGCATCAGGCAGTTCCAATATTGCTTTTTTTTTTTTTTTTTTTTTACCACCTGAAGAATTTGAATTTTATTTAACAGCCAACCCCCCCGCAACTCCCAACCGCCAACTAGGAATAGAGATGCCAATTTCAGGACCTGAAATTGTCGCGGACAAACACAATGTATCCTGCTGAAATGAGCAAAAGGCTTACCGGCAGGAAAAGAACGAGCTCTCTTGCCCCCTTTTATTCTCCGACCAACCGCTGTTTCAATTTTACCACAACAACAACAACACAAAGACAAAAGGTTTAATTTCTTCCGGCGTAACAACAGCGTGGGCTGCCCGTGCCTTTTTTTTATTACATGTTTTATTATGCGGGGGAATTAGATCAGCATAGCTACACCATATGAACCCCGGGATGAAATGTTTAATTACAGCGAGGAAGAAGAAGGAGGAGGAGTAGGAGGAGGGGGCATGGGTCTTTTTTTCCCCCCCTCATCTTTATGCTGCAGCCAAACAAGATATTTGTCATCCTCCCATTTTCGACTACTTCGCTAAAGTTTAAAGGGAAATTCAAGAACGACTCAATTTGCTGTGGGGACATTTATCAAGGACTCTTGTGGCTCTCCTCTTTTTTTCTTTCCATCCTTCCTCCTCCTCCTCCTCCTCCTGAGGGCAAGTGGCCCACAGGTCAGGATTTGACAAGGTGGAGGATTAATGGTATACTCTGTACGAGATGTTGTGTGCAGTTCAGTTTGTGGTTCTGGGCTCCTTGTACTGTAAATTCATAAGCACTTTTCGAGAAAGAGAGGGGGGGCTAGTACTGTCACCTACTCCATGCGTGCTTGTCGTTTTTTTGGCTGCATTAATTAAAAAAAGAGAAATAAAAGCATGCCCACCTTTGCCGCCTGTGCAAAGCAGGGATTGCATATCTGAGTCCATATATATAATGTAGAATGTACAGGCCAAAATCCACATAAATCTCACATCCAGACGGAATCCAGGTGATGCAAGTGGCACATATGTCAGTTGTAAATCACAAGAATGAAGGGGTTCCTACCTCTCGTCGTGCAATGTGCTCTTGCTGGGGAAGCTGAGTGTGGCTCATTCATTCGTTCGTTCATTCATTCATTCTGGCGTCCCGCCTCACTTTCTTGCACGCTTCTTCTTCCTTCCTCCTCTCTCCTTCTCTCTGGGTGCCACCTTCGTGCGGATGCATACGAATTAAAAATTCATAGCACCCCTGCTGTCTTAAAGGCGAAACACCATTGCCCTCCCAAAAAAAAAAAAAAAACTCAAACAAAAAATGATTTTTCAAAAAGTCAAAAAATAGGTAGTTTAGGGGAGGAAGGTGTTTTCTCCTCACTGATTAAAACGCGCCCGTGTGGGCATCAAAATAAATAAACAACGGCAGCATCGTCCCGCGTTGAAAATGACAGAAAATATTCGCAAGAAAGCGTCACGCGCAAAACACAAGTCGGGTTTGGTTTTCTTTTTTTTTTTTTCTTTCAAATGTCCTTGGTTCCGAAGCGCGTGAGTGGTGTCCTCGGCCGCTCGCGCGCTCAAATGAGAGCCGATGAGGAGGCAAACCGTGCAGGAGAGGAAGGACGCGCCGTGTGCACGCTCCTCTCTCGCTCTCTCATGCGCCGAAACGCTGCGCACTGACGCACACACTCGCGGGCTTCTTTTTCCCCCCCCCGCCCCCACCCGCCGGGCAGTCGACAGACAGCTCGCACAAACACACAGGGACTTTAAAAAAAAAAAAAAAAACATTCACAAGCTCGTTTTGAACCAGTGCACTTCCTCGTCGGGCTGTTTCGAAGCTGACATCAGAAGCTGCTGGCGCCTTCTCGTTGTGCCGTTTACAGTTGAGAAACGCCCCCCAATGTCCAAATAAGGAAACTGTATGTGCCACTTCCGCTCTCGTGCCGAACAGTTCATGTACCGTACATATTTTTCTCTGCTAATAAGTAATATGTGTTTTTATTATTTACAAAAAAAGTAATTAAAATGTTTGAATGAAATGAATGTTTAAAAAAAAGAATAGATTCGCAGGGAATCAAATTAAGTACTTGTATGCGAGACGATCAACGACGATGCTACTCACCGTAGTGAGAAGTGAAGCCACCGGCAGCCATCTTACGATGCCACTCACTAAGTGAGCCAAACATTAATACATTGATTTGGCAGGAGCATTTTCGTGTTATTTTCTGTCTCAATGGTGAAAATGATACAACGTGTATAAAGACATACATATACATGTCTCTAAGTCCATAGATCTGGTGCGAAACTTGTCGGTAATGCACAAGCAGAGGTAAACAAATATGGCGAAAACCCACAACAAACTTTCCCGGCGGATGGTGAAAAATGAGAATGACCGAGGCAGCTTGCTTTACTAGAGAAAAGCTTTTTCTGTCAATGCTAGTATCACACAGCTGCCACTAGGTGGCTAACTACATCGCAAACCATTGGAAGTGATGAACCAACACACTAAACAGGGCAAAATTAAATATATAAGTTAGTAAAAATTAATAAATAACAAGGTGGGTGAACTCAAAGAAGAAATACTACTACATAGTTGCATCTTCACTGCAACTGACAGAAAATGGGTCCTGTGCAAGCCAAGAGGCACTTGCAACAAAAAGGGAAGGTAACTTTGATTTGATTACATTTTGGATTGAAGAGGTCTGATGAGGAGCAGGAAACTGTCACATGGCACAAGGTTCCCTCCCTCAACGCAGACACAATAAACATCACGTATCAGGGAGAGAGAGAGAAAAAAAACATGAAAAAGAACAAACTTTGGAATATTAATGTACCAACTGGGGCAAAAGAAAAGAGCAAAGTCAACGGAAAATACAGGAGTCACTCTGCATGACTGGTATTTAATTTGAACCATTCACAGTTGTGTTTGCACTACTAAGCTAGCATGAGCTCTGGAAACAAACCAACACAATTACGCGACAGTGGCAGCATGACTTATTCATAAAGGGGCGTAACTATAACACTAAATTTGATTTGACGTTTAATTTGGGGAATTTCCTGTCCATTAACATTAAGGGGGTCTTTTTTTTTCTTCTTACACTAACAGACCTGTTGCAGTGACTGGGGAGCGAGTGTCAGAATAAACTAGCTTGGTGCTTCATGTCTGCAGGTGAAAAAAAACAAACAAAAAAAAAAAACAAGTGAAAGCCCTTTAGCTCTGCTATTTTTGGTGGGTGGCGGAGGTCAGGGATGAATGGTTGCGCATGTGAGTCAGCGGGTGACGCGTACTCGGAGGCTCCGTGCGCGTGTTAGCGTGCATGCAAAGCTGCTGCATGCGGTCTCTTACTCAGCACTTTACAGCGGGGTCATACATTACAACTGCCACTACACTTATACACAGCAGGGACAACAGCAAAGGACTGAATTAAAAGCCCCCGCCCCCCCCGCCCCTTCCTACTGCCACCACGCGCTACAATAACCTTGCCAAATAGAGCTCATACGTTCGGATAAACAGTAGCGGTTGGTCGCAAAACACAAGAAACACAAGATAGGTTGCGCTGCCAGGTGGATTCATCTGAAAGAAGTATCACCTGCATTTTTTTTTTTTCCGGGTTCTCTTATGACCGCAAACAGTAGGCTGTAGTAACCGGATTGTACTTCATGCGTCTTGAGTCTGTGTACCCTCTGCTCTCAAATCCTCTCAATTGACCTTCATGGGCTGCCTGACTCAATAAATAACATGCGCAATGTGCTCTGCAGCAGGCACGCATGCACACACACACACACACACACACACACACACACATTTATTTATGAAGTATTTTTGTTTTGTGTGTGTGTGTGTGTGTGTGTATTTGCAAGTGTAAGTGTATTACAATGTGTGTGTGTAAATGTATTAGAATGCAAGTGCGTGAGTCTGCTTGAGAGTGCCTAAGAGTTTGCAAGTGTGGGTGTGTGTGTGTGTGTGTGTGTGTGTGTGTGTGTGTGTGTGTGTGTGTGTGTGTGTGTGTGTGTGTGAGAGAGAGCTTAGACGAGGCTCCAGGGGGGTAAGCCCCTGTGGACTGGTGGCCCGCTCCCAGGCAAAACCTGAATATATTCAGTGTGTACCCACAGCAGCTTGTACATCACACCCTCTGGTTTCTTAGCAACAACAAGAGTGACAACACAATTCTGACACGATTGTTCCATGTCCGGGCTGAAAGAATACACAATTGCAAACCTTGCTAGATGTCACACACACACACACGCGCGCGCGCGCGCGCACGCGTATTCTCCGCCGATGATGTAGCAGAAAGCCGGATCGCCGGCATCCATGCAGCTGACAGCAAATCCATATGATATCATGTGCAACACATTGCAGCTGAAGATGTTTGTATTCGTAGCGAGGCGTAACAACTGTAAGTGAAACATGTCAGCAGGGCCCAAGTGATGATCTTACACTCAACACCAAGTATTATTCAAATTGTGTCGTCCTCCACGTAAGAAGATTTATCTTTGGTGTGTGTTGAATCAAAATAAAACGTTTGCTTTTACGGTGAGAAAAAAATGATCAAACTTTTTGCACTATTTTCTGACATGATCAAGACCAAACCAGAAACTGAATCGTAATTTATTTATGTTTGTGTGTTTTCTGCGCTGTCAATTTGAAATAATGTCCTATTTTTGAAGAAAGGAATGGAAATTGAAAGTTTTTAACCAATTCAGTTCTTCAGTTCTACGTAAGGTGCTCTTTGGCATAAAATGGGTGACAGTTTTCATTGGTAGCAGGGGGTGAATCAATTAACGTATTTTCCGCATTATAAGACGTACCTAAAAGCATTCCATTTTCTCAAAATCCGAGAGTGCACCTTATAACCCGATGCGCCTTGTATATGGATCAATATTCTGATTTCTTGGACGTAGTATTTTAAATGCTCTGTAAAGCGCTTTGTTACAGCTGCAGCGTTTGTGAAGGCTCTATATAAATAAATCTGTATTGTATTGTATTCCCTTTAGCATAGTTCCATCTAGCGGATGCATAATGCAACTGCAGCCACAATTGCAGCCTCTATCCTACGCGCCTTACAATGCGGTGCGCCCTACATATGTAAACAGATTTAAAATAGGCCATTCATTGAAGGTGCGCCTTATACTCCGAAGCGGCTTATAGTGCGGAAAATACAGTCGTTGACTAGTTGACTTCTCGACTTCGCAACTTCGCATTGATGTTGAAAGCTTGAAGTCAGCTCATGAAACAGAAAAAAATGCGCAAGGCTAACATTAATTACTTTGTAAAACAACATTCAGCAGAATGTTGTTTTTGCCCCCCCCCCAAAAAAAAAACGTTTCGGACCACGTTGCTGTGCTGAAATTATATCACTGACATCATTGATTAATTGAATGCAGCTCGACTTTGATCAGCGTCAAATTCAGAAAGTCATTCCAAAGCATCATTTCTCATCCAAATATGAACACGTGTACTTCTGAAAAAGTCAGCAGGCACGAGCGGGCAAGACAAAGGAGCCCAACTTCACAGAAGGGGGCGACCCGGATCGATCAAGAAATAAATTGATTGTTGACATTTTTAAACTAGCCAACAAAACCTTTTCCAAAGCAAAGGTCAGCAGCTTCAAATATCATTATCTATCCGTCCAGACCACTCGGATTGTCATCTACAGTATGCACAGAACTATTATCGTGAATCTCCGATATTAATATTGTAGAGGATATTATATTTCGCTGTTCCTTGTGTAAACAGGCTTTGGCATTGATAGACGCGCCCCTGAATCACAGTCACATTCAAAATGGCCTTCAATTGTCACATCATAATACGTTTTGCTGCTTTTGTGCAGATGTAACTTGATTAAAAAAAAAAATACACAAGCATGGCGCAGGAAAAATGAAAGAAAATCTAAAGATAAGAAAGTCGCTCTGTTTTTCATTGTCGCGTTTTTTTTTTATCGCACAATCTCACACTGCGTCTGTGTTCAAACTAATTATTCTCATTCGCTCGTCTTCCATCTTCTTTAGCGGAGCGTCAGTTGTTTTCGTCTTTTAAAGTCAACGAAGGCCAGCGACGGCGGCCATATTTTAATTTGTCCCACCTCATGTTTGATTATTGCCAATTTCTCCGAGTCAGGGTTTGTTGTTTATGCAGCGCCGCTGTTTATCCAACACCTTCGCCTATTTGCAAATCGCTTCTATTTTCACCAGACAGCTTTCTTGTTTCGCCCTGATTGGAAAAATTATCTCCTGTAGCACCAAACAGCGGATATGTTGCAAAAAAAATTTTTTAATCAATAAAATCACTTTTAAATTAAACATCAGAATTTTTTTTTTTTTTTTACACAATTTTGCACTGCAAAATACTGTCTCCAATATGTATGATATGCAACCATCTCTGCTGCATTTCCCTTTGCCAAAATAGGACAACACAAATTATTCACTGAATGGAATCCAAAGCGGCCAGCATCCGACATTTATCCTTTTTTGGTACCAATGTATTAAAATGGGCCTTTTAATCTCTTTTAAAGGCGTGTCAATTATTTGCTTAAATTAGCTAATTAGTGTCGGGTCCACTGTACTACACTAAATGCCACGGAGCCCTTCTGACTAATTTGTGCTCGGCATGCCGATGTTTTTCTAAAAGCATAACCAAAGACGTATTTTCATAATAAAAGAATCAATATCCTATTTGTGTTGGCTGTTGGAGAAACATGAAAACACTTCAGTGCACACTCAGCATCCCTCGAGGAAGTCTTTTCGGCCCTTTCATGCCTGCCCTTTATATTCGGCGTAGAAGGAGGCCTGTAGGCGTCGATAGGAAAAAGACGAAG